AACCCAGCATGTATGGTGGGAATATATTGATATATTGGAGGGTGGCAGACATCTTGCCTTGGTATACAGTGATTTCACTAGTTTACAATTGCAATATGGCTCATTGCTAATCATAACATTGATTCATGGAAAAATAGTAATATATTTACCTGAAATCATCAAAGGTAAAAAAGTACTTGAAATTCCATCTTGACCCACTCTACAAATCAATCATGATTTCTTAAAGATTTTTAAATAGAAGACACAACAATAAATACATCAACTGATTATCTCCTCGGAGATTGTATTACCTGGAAAAGTTTATAAAAATAGGCATATTGTCTGGCAATGCTACGGTAAGGTTTGATGGCTTCACCTATGGTAATARCAGAAGCATTGTGAGGTTGAGGAAATTATAAAAATTACATGAGATTTCTCTCTCTATAGGATATTATAGTGGATGCTACCGAAGGAGGTAAGTTTATAAGGATGACACCAAATTAGGATGATCAGYATATGTATGTCACTGATCACTGATACTAGCCTGCAGCAGCTCTAGGGGAGGGGGAAAAACGGAGGAGGAGGGAGGTTCAGGGAGGAGGGGTTTGCTTTTTACCCTCCTTCAGCRACCCCCCTCCCCTTCTGTTTGCCCCCTTCACCGCTCCCCTAGAGCCAAAATTTCCTTCTAAAATTTGATCCTTGATCACAGAAATTTGGTGATTTTGAGCTCTGATCCATAGCAATGATCCTAAACCTAAGTTTCAATTCTGATCTCATATTACATGTTAAGACCTGTGGTTATTTTGTACCTATTGTAGATGTCCCTTGTAAAGCTTTTAAGTCATCGGGAGTAAAGTACAAAGATGTGGAATAAGAACCGGGTAAAATATCTGGTAACCAAAGCAGAGTAAATGTTAGAATTTCCAGACAAATAACTACTAAACAACCATGACTTTACCAAGGTATGGCTTCCACCAAGAATCCTCCTTGAGTTTCTCATATAGAACATGTAATGAAAGAGCAGCGTGAGGCATCGATGACAAAATGCGATCTTTTTCAATCAATGGTCCTGCCAATAGTCAAAACATTTCTCTTCATTATTTATTAATTTATGTCTCAGAGGAACTGTTTAGTATTCACATACAAAACAGAAGAAGGAAAAAAAACAGAAGAAGAATTCTTTACCGAGTTCAGTATTCTTTGCTGACTCTAACGTCATCATCAGTGACTTTGGTACAGTTACAAAATTATCTCCTTCCTATACAAACAAACAAAAAATAGCATAGTACTGGCAACAAAGCAATTTAAACATGAAAAGTGTTATTATTTAACAAACAAAAATGATATCAGACAAACTGACAACAACTCACAAAAAGACAATTAACATAAAAACAACATGAAGCCACACAACACCAAAGACAGTTACCTGTATATCACTAGTAGCCATCAGTCCATAACCATGATCTCCAAACTTATGAATTTGTACAGAGTTAACAGCACCACCATTGCTAAGATACCATGACATAAAGGTGTCTATGTTTCTTTCTCTGCAGTGACTTGTCCATGGTATACACTCATCTGAAACATTATCAAACCCTCATYAGCAAGTCATAGAATTTGAATCAAACTGACAGCAGTATATCAATTAAAGTAATGAATTTGAAATACCGGTAAATTTGAATAGTTCTTAATAAAAAAATATTTCTTTTTTTTATTTTAAGATTGGAAAAATTATCATGACCATAGTATGAAAACTTCATCCATTTGAGATCCTCATGTATTACTCACCAGTTTGCTTTTGTCTAATTTGTTCAATTATTGCATGAATTTTTTCGAATTCTTCCCATTGTGCTGGTGGCAGTGCAGGAAATTCTTTCACACAAACTATAGAAATTACAAATGTTCAGTAGTTTTGGTTAAAAAGAGTGCCACCACTTTTGTACCCAATTGTGAAAATCCTAATGTAGGGACAGTGTGTTATTGTTTTAATGTTTTCTATTTGTTTATTGCTACAGTTGTTGTTGTTTTCAAGTGCCATATCATATGTCAATATAAACAAAATGTATCTGAATTGCATGACAAGATTCTCTCTGTAAGTAGGATTGCAAGGTTGATAATTAAAGCATAGTGAGACATACCATCCAATATCTCAATGCACAGTCTCAGAACCTCTTGGTTGTACTTTGGTGTTTTAGATTCATTTCCAGTGGTTTTACGTTTTCCTTTTTTCCCCATATTTGAACCAAGTAAGCACTAAGAATCCTAGCTGGTTATAAAATAAATAAAAAAACAATTGCCTGATAAAATGTTTATTGAAAACATTCTCATTTGGAATCGTGTCATATAAAACATAGATACCATTTTTCAAGACTTTATTTGTTTCAGATATTATTTTCTTTAGAAACTGTGTAATTGAAACAATTCAACAGAAAAACAATTAGGCCATGCACGCCAGGTCTGACCAATCAGTATATATAGGGTAGTTATTTGTACAATGCCATCCAAGTGCTTGTACTTTGATAACAACTTGTAAAAAGATCATACAATATTATAATATAATAATATAATATAATATCCAWATATTTTATTTCGAAAATGTTCAGGTATTTGACAAATATTATCATAGGCATAAGCTTGGGCTGCCTGTGCTTATAATATTCTCCAGTTAGTAACATTTAGATGTAATTCGGCAACTAAAGGCTTTAAGGTAAGCAGAATACTAGTATACAATTTAGAGGATTGTAAAATCAGATCCAATACAAAGTCGTAGAGAAGCAGCACCAACAAACTTTTAACTCTTTATATAGTCGGTTATCAATCGAACGAAAACCAAATCACAAAAAGTTGATTGATCTCCGTATCTTAACAGCTTTGATGATTTTTTACATCAGCAGTATGCTTTGATATACTAATGACTTACCATGTGAAGCTAAAATCAGGTTATCTTTCCTCAAATCCCGACAGAAAATCCAGAAACAATTTCGAC